AAAATAAAAGTTCATCTAATCAAACAAAATATACCTGTAATTGCTAGTTAATAATAAAAAAAACAAAGAACCTAATTGAGTGAAGCATTCTAATATAAATAGATCTATATCTAATGGAAGTTAATATAAACAAGAAAATTGTAATTGAACGGAAATAAAAAAAACAGCTTTTAGTATCATGATGATAATTTTTGTTTATATAAGAGAAAAAAATAAAACAATAAAACAATCATCAGTCTCTAGTAAACAATGATATAATACTGTCTGATAATCCTTTATTTTAGAAAAAGACAAAGAGAAATGTATATCCATTAGCTCATCTTTTTTTGCATTATCCCACATAAAAATAAATACTATTGATCCTTACCCACAAAATCGTACGTATTATAAGTTGCAAAAAAAAGTGCGAAGAAGGAGAACATATGTATATTAAACATGAATATGAAGATTGAAGCATTCATCAGTAACACAAGAAAAAAAGACAAATTCTGATGTAAAGAGAAAAACACACTTACCTATCGATAGAAGGCTATTTGTAAATGAATAGCGTAAAATACTCGTTTTTATCATTGACGTTTATGACCTTCTCGATGTTGGACGCTCTCAATCGTTACGAAAGCAATGATAGTTCAAGGATTCTTTGAGACAGATACAGATATTCTAATTGAATATGATTAATGATTAGAAATATACATCACCTATATTAATATATCAGATTCAATATTAAACTTGTATGAAAATCTTCATTATTCTTAGTCATTTCTTTTTTAATATATACTTTGGATTTGTAGTGATTCCAAAGACATTTTTAATTATGTAACAATTCAAAATAAAATATTTAAATTTCAGAAAAAGAAAAAGCCAACTAGCTAAATGTCATAGATTTAATTATACTTCATCATGTTGTTGAATGATATTAGAGATTTACCTTGAGAAAAGAAAAAGAAGAAAAAGAAATATCCTTTACTAGACGTCTAGAAAAATTTTCAAAGATCAATCCCATGAAATCTTTTTTGACAATAGATTTTCAGTATCTTTTAAGATTTATTTTTATAAAATGAATCAATGTTTTTGTGATTGACATCTACCATAAAATAATCCAAAATTTTGACAATTGATTGAGACTAATTTCTATTTTTATTTTATGGATAAATATTTTGCAGGTATTTTATTACTGAATAATGTTGAGTAAAAAAATACCTTAATAAGTCTAATAAGATTTTCTAGATTGATTACAAAATGTTTGTCATGAAAAATGAGAATAACGCTATAAAAAATTATCCACACGGATTAAAATGAAATACGATAGGTTTTGATGTAAACTTTCGACAATGTCGATATATATATTATATTAAGTTAAAATATACACCTATCTTGACTCTACCTAAATCAGATTGTCCTTCACATTTTCGTTCGAAGTGACACATATATTATTTAATAAATATATTTGTAATATAATTTTTCTTTCGTTCTGTTTTTTTTTATCATTCATTGATTATAGGTTTTAACTAAATAAATTCTTTTATTTTTGTTTTCTTTACAAAAAAAAATTGTACAATTCTATGGTTTATTTATATTCAATTTTATTTTATTTCATTTTTTCTCATCGAAAAAAATGAAGAATTCGATGAAGTTTTTGATAGCTGACGAATTGATTTTCACTTGAAAATATCGAATATTCTATTATCTTATATAAAACTTCTATGAAATACAAAAATATTAAAAATAGAAGCTCTACAATGTGATATTGTTAAAACTTAAAACAACCGTATATTCATAAAGTGAGAATCTTCGAAGTGGATGTATTCTAAAGTAATAGTAATACATTTATATATTTCATTTACACACGATAGAAAACATTTGTATAGAAATTTTTTGACACTAAAAAAAACAGAAGTATTATTCCGCATGCATGATCATGTTATTCAAGCAAAAAAAGCATTTAAGATAAAAATTTACTATTTTTCTTTTTTTCTTTTTCATCCTCAAGAAATTGTTTACTTATTCGATCGATGAAAATAATTCTATTGAGGAAATAGTAATTTATATCTGCAGTAGATCTATATAATAACAGCTACACTTTATGTCATGTATTTCCTGATTTAATTTTGTTCGATTGCAAATAAGAATAGTTTTGATGAAAAAAGATGAAAAAAATAGTATAGACATCTGGTAGGAATTTTCTTCCATCTTGATCTATTTAGTCGTTTCTTCTCAATCACTTATTCACAGGAGATTGAATAGAAAATATGACATCTCTTTAATTGAACATTGAAAAGAAAATTGGTACTTTTCTATCATTGTCCTTGCTTTTGATTCAATTACAAGAACAATATCAATCTTGTCTTGATCCTTTCTTTACTTCTTTCTTTTTTCTTTTTTGTTTGTCGGAGGTTAAACGACTGGTTGTGCTGTTGCTGCTGTGTCGGATTAGTCGCGCATTCTCTTTTCTCGTCTGTCTGATGATGACGTGCACACGCACACACAAGGGATTAGAATACAAGCCGACGACGTGCACACTCACAAGAGTTTATCATCGCCATTGTCATCTTTGTCGTTGTTGTATGTATATGTGTGTGTGTGTGTCAAATTTCACTCTTTTTTTCTCTTTGCAATGAGGTGTGGCGACGTGACGTGTGAAGTTCACTTTCACCCCAATCATCATCACATGCTCTTTTCACATATATACAATCGCTGTCGTTTATCTCGCATGCACTATTATTCGATGAATCTATGTGTTTTCGATGATAATAGCTGACTACAACTACAACATCATCATCAGTTAACATCAAGAGAAAGAGAGCAGCATGCATAATTGAGTTAATCGCTACGCATGCTTTCGTTTTTCTTCTATCTGTCTATTTCTCTTATATATTGCCGCCAGCTGTAAGAATGCGTTCCTATTCGAACGATCGATACAGAGCTAATTTAACACACAACTCACATAGAAGTAGACTCGTTCTCCTGCTTGCAATGTCTAATTGTTTTGATAAGCAAGCCGCTAGGCATACATATACACATACACACCATGTAGCAAATCTTTTCCGGAACGTATATATATATATATACCGACCTTTTCTTCATCTATATGTGGATGCAGCTTGTCATGTATTCTCATCAATCACTCCCCGCTTTACACACATCATGCACCTCGTACAAACACTGCCATTCCATCCTTTCTTCTTCTTCTTCTTCTTCTTCTTCTTCTTCTTCTTCGTCTTCGTCTTCTTCTCTACAACTTGCTATAGTTTCAACGGGCAATACGCACACATATATACATAAGCACGGTCAAATCAGTATAGAAGAAGGCAGGCCGGAAGCGACGGCAATTAACAACATCGAACTCTCTTCATTTCTCTATTCTCTCATTGACTATCTTGACTGGCAGGCAACAAATATTTGTATGGGTGCACTCGGTGATAATGCCTCGGGAGATCAACAACGACAATGACAACGACGTGTGCTAAAGGAACTTGTTAGACCGGAAAATGACCTCTAGCCCATACACATCACATGATAATTATCTGTCTCTTTTCTATGCCTCGTGTCGTTGTCATTACACATGTGATTTGATTTTTTATCTGTTCCGTTGAGTCGTTGCTGTTCTATATCTTTACTGCACAATTCAATTTCCTGTTAATATTTAATCATTGCCGTCGGAACGAACGAACATCAAGCTAGAGAAACGCTGATTGCTTTCTCGCATGTTTCCTCTCTTTTCTTTTCTTTTCTTTTCTCTTCTCTCCTTTTTTGTTCGAGCCTACAACTAACAAGTCAATTATTAATTGGGCGGGCGCGGGTAATGGTGATCTGGATTGAATCCTTCAGCTAGCACTATGTTCACTGTCTCACATCTAATTGATGTAAAGAGAGAGAGAGAGAGAGACATAAGAAAAGGCGAGAAATGAGCTTTTCACGCTTCATTCATAAATGTGTGTTGGTAGCGTAACTCATTAGGCTCTTTCTCTACTGTCGTTCTGGAGCGAAGCTAACTCCCTCATCGCGTCTCATAATTGATTTTCGATGATTTATTAGTTTGCTTCGACGAACACGCGAACCCATAAGAGAGAGAGAGAGAGTGAGCTGCTGAGTGCATACATGCAGAGTGTCAAAATTACTTGTTCTCTCGAGATATCGACGTGCAACACACACAAGTCCATTATTTCTTCTTTTCTTCTTCTTTTCGATTCTCTTTTCCATTTTTGTAATTTCTCTTTTCCTTATATGCATGTGTCTATCAAGAAAATTGACCGAGCTGCAAGGCAAATAGGCAAAGCATTGAATAAACACATTTTCTTGGGTGCCAAGACTAATTGAATTGTTGTTGTTGTTGGTCGTTGTCGATCGTCTTCCTCTCCCTTATCCTCTCATCATCATATCACAAGCAGATGGTCTAATTTGCACACATACGATGTCTTTCATTCTCTTAACGTTATTTTGTTAGTATGTGTACGCACATCGCATGCATAGAAACGACATACTGTGAAGAGTAACAGCAGAAACAGAAGCATTGAAGAAGAAAGAATCTCAAGTGTCGTCGACGGTGAGTACACTTCTCGTCGTCGTTCTCTTTTTAATCATCATCATCATCATCATCATCATCATCATCATTTATAGATGTGAAATATTTTCTCTTGCGCTTTACATACCGCCACCCGTCGGCCGTCCGTCACTTGAGTATGTCAAGAAGACATAGAGCGGAGAAGAGGAGGAGAAGGGGGAGAAAAAGAACTCGATAAAATTATGTGTCTATATATGTGTGTATGTATGTTGGTTCAAGTGTGTGCGTGCACACACTTCAGTTTTGAGATGAAGAAATATGAATTAGCGACGAGTAACCGAAGAAAGAGAGAAAAAAGAAGAGAAAGATTGCTAAATAGAGAAAATAACATACACAATGTGTGACCCATTGAATCAATGAGAAGCACTGCAGGTGTCAACTCTTGTAGTTTTCTTTCTTTCTTTTATTATAGATAGACTAGATAGATAAAAATAACAACATGTTTATACCTGGGTCAACTCCTACTAATACAAATTTATCGACAACAACAGCAATGAATAATAATCTTCATCACCAACAATATCTTTTTGATAGTCTAAGTAAGTGTCAATTTTTCATTCTTATTTTATTCATATCATATTACTTATATTTCCTACAACTAATAAATATGAGATTTTTAAATTAGCCTTTTTTCTTTTTCTTCTTTTTGTATTGTTATATTTGTATGACTAATCTAGATTGACTGCAAGAGGGATTTTAGTCAGTATTGTGATAGTAGGATCAATTTCATCCCTCTTTTCTATTCTCATTGAAACACATACTTCATATATATATATGTATGTATGTATGTATATATGTCGCCGTTTGGCTTATCCAGCTCAAATAATACCGTGCTTGATCCTTGTCTCTTTTTCTTAATCGATTTGACAACATTGAAATAAAAGACATCAAATATTGTTCTTCATAACCTTGAACAATATTCTTTTTATTTAGAAGATCATCGTTCAAATAAATTATCGTCATCATCATCAATGTCACGAAAAACATCATCAACACCAAGTAAAAGAAAAATTATTTTTTCTTAGTTAAAAATCAATAAAATTAAAATATTTTTTTTATTCTATCAATCAAGATTTTTCACTTGATCCTGATTTATTACGTGAATTGAATGCTCGATATTTACATGATATAAGTTCAACACGAACAACAAATACAACAAATTCACCGATTGAAAGTAATGGATTTCCAACATTTCTTTTACCACCATTTCTTCGAGCTGAACATTATCATCAACATACACATACCCATGAACATAATTTAAATATTTTAGCACCTGCTAATAATGCATCATTAAATGGAAATCTTAATAATTCGATGGTATGTGATTCTATTTTTGTTTCAACGTTGTATTTTAGAATTAAAATTTAATCACTAAATCTTATTTAGTTAGATAAATTATCGAAATCAGACAATAGTCTTTCACCATTTTTACGTACAACAACTGTTAATAATGTAAATATTTTTTTATTCAATAAAAAAAACAAAGAAAAATATTCTAAGTTTATTGTTATTTCTTAAGTTTTCACCAGCAACATTGCTACCACCACATCCACCTGTATTTCCATCATTCACTTCAGCTAATAATTCAACAGCAACTGTTAATCATAATCACAACAACAACAACAACAACAACAACAACAACAACAACAGCAATAACAGCAATAATCATAATAATAATATTAATAATTCAACAAAGGAAACTTCATCATCTCCATCTAAGGTATAAATTGATATTATTTTTCTTGTGTCTTGTTGGTTTAGTCTTATTCTATTTATTCTGTTCATAGAAATCTGCTAAATGGTGTGCAGCACATGTTCGAATATCTTGGATGATTTATCATCAACAACAACGGTCGAAAGATAAATCATCTCCATCGGATAATAAAAAAGATGATGAACAACATCAACATCAACATCAACAACCATCATTAAATAATAAATTACCCGATCTTATTTCGAATACAAAACCTCTTTTCCTACCAACACCAACCAGTGATTTATCTCTTCCAATAGCTTCAACATATTCAACTTCACATTTACTGCCACCATCATTTAGTATGTTTCTTCAACATAGTTTTCAAATACAAAACAAATAATAAAAATTGTTATTGCATTGCTAGGTTATCGATCACCATTTGATTTCACTGGTGTAAATAATGGGCCATTAGGCCGTTTACCCCCATCGTCAAGTAGTGCATTTGGTGGTCTTGGTTCTTTGTTTCCACCACCTCCACCAACATCAGCATCGTCCTCGATAATTGATCGAAAATCAGATATAAATGGATCCGTAGCAGCAGCTGCTGCACTTGGTCTTGATTGGTCAAGATTTCATCGGGGAATAGGGTCATCATCATTGATTTCACCTTTAATGCCACTTTCATCAACAAATGATAATTTATCATTGAAAAAACTGGATGAAACAAATAATAGTAATCATGAAAAGTACGAACATTTTAAATAGTTTTCAATTGCTTTAATTTATTTTGTATTTGTTTTATCTTTAATAGTAGAAAACGTTCTTCATCTGTACTTAATAATGATGACGATCGTCGTAATTCTCATCATCATCTAATGCTTCCGCCATCACATTTAACAAATAATAATTATTCATCATCATCATCAGCAGCAGCAAATCGTTCTCGCTCACGTTCTCCACATCCTTCATTACATCATCACTCATCATCATCATCATCATCTAGTCTTTTGAATAAAAATTCTACTAACTCTTCTTCTTCTTCACCACCATCATCATCATCATCATCACATTTATCATCATCTTCACGTAAACGAAATTCGCCAAATATGAAATCAAATCTATCAGACAATTCTAAAAATTCTTCACATCCTCCTCTGCCTCTACCATCATCACTACCTCCAGCTGGTTTACCTCCAATGTCTTTACCACCCACATTTGGTTCTTTTGATCCTTTGACATTATCAATTATTGAACGACAACGTTTATCAGCTGCATATGCATCATTATTTGCTGTTGCTCCTCAACCGAATAATTACTTTCCAGGGAATATTGATCCAACGACATTTCGTAATAATGGCTCATCGAATATTTTTTCTAATGTTGATTCATCAGCTATGACTGCTGCGTTAATGCAACGTGAACATTTTCTTAATTCGTTACGTCAACAACAAGAACAAACTATTGAACGTGAACGTGCTGCTGTTGCATCAATCAATAAAGTATCAAAATCTTTAACAAGTAATGGATTAAAAACTGAACAAACATCACCAAAAACTAACTCAGAAGAAACATCAGGGATAAGTCCTAAACTTGGAACATCACCTGGATCTCAATCTACGATTTCATCGTCATCTGAATCATCGAAAAAATTGAAACACGTTAAACGTGAAAAAGAATCACCATCGCTAATTGTTCCTTCAGCGACGACTGCAAATACTGAAACTATATTAAAAGAAGAATCAAATGTTGAATTAACTCCTTCATTTTCGACTACAGCATAATTTTTCAAGCATATAGTTCATCTCAGTTTGATTTTTTTAAAAGTTTTTTGCCGGTGTTGTTTTTTTTCTGTCTCGCATTGTATTTATTATTCGCTATTTTTTGTCTTCTTGCCTTGCAATTTTTTTTCTATATTTGTTTGTGTGCTTTGGCTTCACGGTACATAAAACATTTTTGTATCGTGGAAGACTTTGTTGACATCGATTTTTTTGATGATCAATATGTAACATATACAAAACCATGGCGTTATGGTGATGGACAGAAATTGTTTTATTTTATTTCCACCCTGAATGTGTTGTTTTTACGAAGTTTAAAAAACTTAGATCTTGAATGTTCTACTGAAAATGTTTGTTAACTGTTTCAAATTAATTTCAAAGTAGAAAGATGATTTAAGTTTGACATATACTTTACTCGATAGTGATAAATTAGTGTTTTGTTACTATATCGAGTTAGAGAAAAAAACAAAAGATTCTTAGTTACTATTAACTACGTGAAAGAATATAGCTAAGAGAAATATTCTTTAGTAGAATCTAAAGTGTTGATGTCGTTTATTTAGTCTTTATGCTTGTATACCAACATGCCTTGATAATGAATATTGACATTTTACACGCTTGTTGCTGCATGGATATACTGTTATCTATGGTAGCTACATATTATTTGTAAGAGTGGTTTCTCCGCTTGAAAATTTGCTCAAGTCAAAAGCGATACATGGCATAGAAAAATGACTCAATATAAATAAAAGCAATTTTCTTGTTTTTTTCGTTAAAATTAATATAAAGTTTGATTGGTAGAAACAGTCGTGCAAAGAGCCGACCATCTAAATAAAAGTTCTATACAGAATTGATTGAGAAATTTTTATTTTTCTTTTGGATTGTATTCATGAAAAGATTTGCTTTTTCAAGTAGTTTTTCGAAGTATTAGACGAGTTATTTTTAAAGAAAATAAACTTAACTAATACTCGCAGCTTTGATTTTACATTTGACTAACTAGTAAATATGGGTACGTATGAAAAGAACCGCAAAAGCTATTTCTTATACAGGTTTTTAAATTCTAGTTGAGGATTGTTTTTTATTAAATTTTTGACCCAGCTTTACGTAGATTTAAAGAAAACTAAAAGAAGAATGGTGATGAGACTTGTAATCTCTGTAAAGTAGATTGAATGATGTACAGATTATTTTGAGCATTTGATTTCCAAGTCAATTCTATTCTATTCATAGGATATTACTTTTGAGAACATATTTGAGTTCAATAAGTTTTATAAAAGAATCTTGTTTACTCAAATATTTCGTATATCAACAAACAGAAAATATTCTTATTACTTGACAAATAGTTTCAGAAATCTCTGTAAATTATTTAATCTACTATTAATAGATGAAATTCAGCATCGAACTATTTTGGTTTCATTATTTACTATACGTATATATATCTAAGAGGCAGTTGAAAGTTTTGCAAAAGGATCGTAAATCACTTATAAAAGATGAAGGTTAGATCAAGCGGCAAATATCGGTGTGGTTAAGTATTTGTTTTTAAACAATTTGTGAGAATCTTATCAGATACTTCTTCATGATATTTTCAAGCGAGTCGATGATGAATAAAATATTACATAAGTAACTGCACTTTACCAACCATCAGTCTTTAATGATTCGAATGTATTCATGCTTATCAGACGTATCGAAGGTTTCCATGAATCAATAGAAAATTTTGGCGAATCATTTGAAGACAAACATAGTGATTCATTGAAAAAAGACACTCGTATATTTTGATTGAAGTGCTTTTCAAAATCGTTTTGTGTTTATTATCCTATTCGAATTTCATCTGTGTCGTTTAATTTACAAGATGATTTTATAAAGTATAAGCATTTTCTATTCAAACAAAGCTGAGTAAGTAAAATATTGATCAGACTATTTTAGGATCAGTAGAGAAAGTTATTGTATTCTTCTAGTTTACAATATCATATATTCGTAATATGGGTCCATGGTTGAGAAGAAATAATTTGTTTGTTATTGTGTATGTCATTTTGAACTGATTTCGACATGAATCATTTGCAACATCATATTTTAGTTTGTTAGAAATTATTGTATGTAAAAAGAACGAGAAATATTCTCGCAACACAATTATATCGTAATTTCTCATTTGCCAATAAAACGATGAATAAGTGATTATTGTTGTTAAAAGTTTTTAGTTTCATTTATTTAGAAATTAGTTCAATCTGATTTTAATTAAAAACAAATTTGAAAACAAAACTTTCACCAGAGTAAAAGGTTCGTTTCACTATTATTATTCTTTATTTGTTTTTGTTTTCTAAAAGCAAAGAAAAATAATCATTCTGTTATTACTTTATTTCAATGAAATCTAATAAATGTGTCTCAATACTAATTTGAGAAGAATTTTAAGTAAAACTTCTTCATTTATTTTCAACACGTGTAATACAAATGAATAAATAAAGAAAAGAACAGTCAACAAAATAGATAAAGAAAAGAAGAAGTAATCGAAACACATTTAACATTAGAAAATAAATTCATTAAATATAATTTTTATAATCAAAAGAAAGAAGAGATTTCTTCTTACTCACAAGTGAAGTATGTAGGCAAATGAATTGAACTTCATATGGATCAAATTTTTCTTTGTTGACGATAGATGATCAATAATGTTTACATCATAACTAAATCATTGAATGAATCTATGCATCAAATCCTCAATTGATTCTTTCTTCTCTTTGTTGTTCTCTCTTTTTCTGTCGCTTTCTATTCATAGAATAGATCTCAATCTGCTGCCACCCTTAACTATTACTCACAACATTTTAAATCTTGCACTCTTTTTTCTCGCTTTTTATATTGTCAGCTGTTACTTTGTTAGCTACATGTGACACATCGTTGTGATGATTATATATGTTATTGTATGATATACCACGCGAAAGAATAACAGATAGACTTATACTCACACACACACACATTTATAGGCATTTGTAGCGAATAAAACTTACCGATGCATCTTTTAGGCGAACTAGCCGATGCAACATGGTTACGTCTAGAAGATTTACTTAAGGATTTAGATGAACCGGACAAAGAACGTCAAGCATTTATTGATGATACTCGTCAGTTTTTCGAACAACGTCTTTCAACTTATAGAGACAAACGAAAAGAATTAGAAAACTCTATTGAAAAATTAAACGAACAGATGTATCAGTTATTTGATAAACTTCAGCTACCAAGAACAAAATATGATAATAATCAAATGACATTAATTGAAAAACGAAAAACTATTAATGAAAAAATAGATGAATTAACAAATATGGTATTAGAACGTGATAGAAAACTTATTCAATTACGACAAATAGTTTACATTAAAGCGAAATTAACTGAAAATATGCATATTAACATTGATGAGGTTAGCAAAATTATTTCTTATAAAAATGATTCATTTTATTTATCAGTTGTTTTATGTTTTGTTCTCGAAAAGTAATATTAGACTAGTGCACGAGTGAAGAAAGATATAATAGATGTTGGCAAGATATCAGAAGCAGTAACGCCGATAATTATTTTTTGAACTATTAGATTAATTACTCGTACATTATGTTTCATTTTATCATATTTTAGAGAAAATTACTGTATAGTTGATAGTATTACGTTGCTTCTCACACGATTTCATGTATATGAGTATCTTGAATCATGATGAGGATGGAGGAGAAAGAACGAGTTTTAATTCGCCTATGAATGAAAATTAACTGTGTTCGATGTTCTTGTGTGTACATGTTCAGTGAAAAGTGAATAGTTGATCAGTGAAGATTCTTTGGAAAATCCACGAATATGATCTTCGATTCCTTACAACATAATCGATACAAGTATTTTTATCTTAGATTTACAAGGGATTACGAACTCTTATTTCTTCAGTAAAATGCATGCTTATAACATTGTTTTTTGAAGAGTTATCACATATTTATAATTAAATGACTAAATAAAATTTTCTACAAAACTATTTTCTTCTTCAGAGATAGTGATTTAACCAAGCTATAGTACGTTTCATACAGATAGATCTCGATAGATAGATAGATAGATAGATAGAGAGTAACTATATAAACTGATTAATTCTATTGCTTGTTTTTTTTTATCAACTAAGAACAACGACAAAGTAAAACCAATTCGACCTCTGTGTACTAGTGCATGATTAGTTTTCTTTTTTTTATGGTGAAAATTATTTCAGAAATAATTATTAATCATAAATATAGTATTAACAGGTAGAATCGATTGAGTGAATTCGAAAAATAGACTATTTCAACTCAACAAAGTCCATCGAGTATTTCTTAGAATACAGCACATGATCAGATGTACTGCAACAAAAACAAAAATCATTACTGACACATAGAGAAATTACTTCAAACAAACAAGTAGACATACTGTACAGTGTTAAAATAGTCTCATTTTCTCAGAAGTATTTACCACAAGATTCGAACAATCAACAAGATTATCGACTTTGAATGAACAATTGAACCAGGCTTTTTTTCTTTCATCATCCTTGACAAGAAAACTATACTGCCAATCAGTCTATAGAGTTAGTCTGTCTGCATAATAAAGTTTATAATTTTATTTAATAACTATCTTTATGGAATGGTATACGTCTTTAGAAGAATTAAACCGTTTGACGAAGTTATAACTTTGACAAAAAACTTCATGGAAGTTGTTCAATATCAATTAAGTGATAAATATTAATCAATTGATTGATGATATTATTACACCTTTTATTTAATTATACTAAATTTTTCATATCAATAATCTTATATAGAATTTTATAAGAGTTATAATTAAAAAGAAGCTAATGTAGACGTTATTGATTGAAATTGACAGCACGGAGGTTTCCAAAGATCTATTGGTTCTTTCAAAATTTTCTAACAAATGTCGTCATTTTGCTGGATACTATTTGTAGAAGAAATCAAGATTCGCACTCTATTATAATATGCTACGCATTACTGAAAGTTAGATTGTGATATTCGAATAAATTTAATAGATTCAAAACTGAATTCTATTTATGTCAGATAAAAATGATCTACTCCTTGTCTACAAGTTATAGTGCTATTAAATTTACCATGTCTGTTTTTTTCTGTATATCAGTTCCGATTCCACTTTTGTGAATGTTTCGTATTCGAGTTAATTATTAAAATAGAATAGGTTATGTGATTCACCGGTAGATCTCGTTCTTTTTTATATTTCTTTTTCGTTCAAGTTCTATTAAAAAATTAGAAGAATGAATTTCAAAGATCAGTTCTATCAAAGTTAGTGAGTAATAATATTTGAACGTAACAAAAAAAAATCTAAACCATCAAAAGAATGTAATCCTATAATTTTTCGAATAACTCATTTACTACTTGTTTATTGTAATAAAATAAAAGTTATTGTTAGTTAAAATGGTAAATCAACGATTACTATTCAATAGTTTTTGTAATAACATAATAAACCGATTATTATTATTTTGTTAATTAATTCATCTATAATAACTTTCACAAAGTGTGCAACTTCGGCAAAATGCATAGATATATACATGTATGATAGGTAGTCAAACAATGTTTGCATTGCAATTTATCCAAATAGTAGTATCGAGTGAAAATCTATTTACATTTCAAATATAAATGTTTAGATTGACAATACAACATAATTTTATATGAGAAAAATTTAGAATAAACTCAAAAATCATCTCTTTCGAGATTAAAACAAAAATAATTACTTCATCCAAATAGGAAATAGTATCTAAATATACTTTAGTATGATATTTGAGCAGAAAAACTAAATCAAAGCGTTAGCTGAGCATTTATTCTACTTTCTATCCTACATAAAACTATAAAGACTTCAGTGTCGATCCTATAAACACTTTTTTCAACACATTGCTGAAGTTACTGTTAAAACAATTGTCTTTCAAGGAAATAAAATGTTTACATTTGCTTAATTATTATATGATAATATTGAAATAATCTATTGAATTGATGTTTTTTATTTTATTAAGATTTCATCTACAAATGAAGCCTATTCGATTTTATCTGACTTAACAAGTAAATTGAAGAAATTAAAAGGTGATATTCAGGTTCTTCTTGATAAAATCTATTCTCTAAATCCCGATATCACTTTAAATAATTCAACTGCTGCTAAATCATTTTTATCTCTCAACGATGAAAATGAATTGTCTTGGCTTAATGATAATAATCCATTAACGGGTCGTTCATTGTATACTGAACTTCTTCATGATTATGAACATTTACAAGAAAAACTTCTTACTGAGGTTGTTCATCTTCGAACTGAACTTGGTCAAAAAGAACCCTTACTTTCATGTGATTTAAAAGAAGAATTAGTTAATTTACGTTTACGTAAAAGATATTTATCTTTATTATCAAATTTTCCGCATAATTTAACACCGAATTCAAGTCTGGATGAAATTCGTCAAACCTATGAGCAATTAACAGCATCATCACGTGCACAGGCTCGAGAAAAGCTTAAACGTTTGTGGGATCAGTTAGATGTACCAAATGATCAACGTATTACACCAAAAACCGCTGACAATGAAGATGATTATTTATCTATGAATGATGAAATACATCGACTTGAAACGTATGTTGAATCAATTCGACCACTTTTAACTAAGATTCAAAAACGAGAATGGTATAAAAGAGAAATGATCGAATTTGAAAAACATGCAGCTGATCCAGCTAGATTACGTGGAAGTTCAACACAATTATTGAAAGAAGAACGATTTCGTATGAAATATTTTAGTTTTCAATACGAACTATAATTTGTTTTTCAAATTATTTTTAGGTAAAGAGCTTTCACGTGAATTTCCTAAACTCACTGATGATTTACGTTTCATGGTTGCTGAGTGGGAAGAATCAATCGGAAAAAAAATAATTTATGGTGGTGAATCTTATTTAGAAACGATGAACAAAGAAAAATTAAGTGTGGACTTTGAATTATTACATTTACGTTTGCTGACAAAATGTCAAGTACTTGTGCAAGGAAAATCCGATCAAAAAATATCAACTGAGAATAACAATCAATCAACTTCATCAACAATTTTGTCACATCATTTAACATCTGTTCTACCTTCGCCAATATCTCCTCTGCCCCCATCAATCTCTCCTCTGCCCCAATCAATCTCTCCTCTGCCCCCATCACCAATAAATAAATCATCAACAAGTCGAATACCAACAATAAATTCTGCAACCACGAATAGAAAACTTCATAAACAGACATAATTTGATGTTGCAGTTTTTTTTATCTAAAAAGTTTTAATTTTTTATTTAATATTATAATAAATTTTATCAAATTGTTTTGCTATATTTTTATCCGATTAAAACTTTGAAACAAGACTTAATTAATTCTTAAGTTGTCTTTTATTTGAATATTATGAGTGAAATCGATTAAACATGCTGCAACGAGTATTCTATTCAAATCTTGCGATATTGATAGTAAGATAAACTATTAGTAATTATATATTGATGAATATAAATACAAAAAACTTCGCAGAATCAAATCGTCTATGTCTAAATTTAATGTGAACATTTTACTTGTAATATGTTAGAAACAGGAAACATGAAGAAGATCTTTATGAGTTTATTTAAAATAGAACGCTGAAGTTTTTGTTTTTATTAATCTTTTGTTTTCTAAAATGAAATGTCAATTTAGTTTATTGTTCATTTATAATATTTTCTTGAGTCAGTAAAAAGAACTGTTTCATTTCATTATTATTTCATTTGGAACAGATAAACAAATGAAAAGTTTTCGTAAATTCAAACGATTATTGTATCTGAAGAACAAAATTTGTCTCTTACTTCTCCAATCAAATGAGAAACTACTGGCTTTAGCTCGTACTTCATATTTTTAATAAGCACACTTCAAATTTTATATGAAAAATGGGTATGTCAGAAGAAGTACTCCTCGAACTCTGCTCAATAACAACAATCGAATTCATGGCTATGTCTTAATATGTTGATTGCCACTGCGGTGACGTAACTATTGGAAATCTTGTTTTTTTTCTGATCTTTTCTATAACGATGCGTATGATATGAAAAAATTTTTAATATCTTGTCTACGAATACTAATTGTGTTATGTAATTATAGTGATGTGTCAAATTAATACATAGTGTATGTACGTCATTGAATAATTTTTTAAGTTAGGTGAGAGAAAGATTCTAAATTTGAATTAGAGACTAATTTGAGTAAGTAACTAAGAAACGAACGCATCGCTAAACATAGTCTCAACATCATAGATGAATAGTATTGTTCTACAGAGAGAATTTAAGTAATGATAATCGAACAAGAAACTCACAAGAGAACATGATTTTTATTACAATGATGCTCATTTCAACCATTTCGTCTACGATAATTAGGTTTAAGTGAATAGTTAATACTTACGTTAGGTATGCAATAGTACGTGCTTTTTCATGATTCGCACTAAAATTCATGTCATCCGTAGAAAGGTTTTTTGATATAAGCATAAATTTTGATAAAGCTAAGCTGCAAACGCGAAAATTTCTGCTACATTTGTGTTAGTTATCTAAGTTAAAAGAGTATTACGTGAGTCAAATTCTAGCATTTCAATTAAATTCCATATTTATTTATTTTGAAATTGAAATAATACTTTGAATAATATAAATCTCTAATGAACAGATCTAAAAATGTTGTTTTTAACTAATGAAGGTGAATAACACCAAATTCTGCAAAAATATTATTTTTCTTTAGATGTATTTTAAAATTTCCTGGAGAAATTTACGATAGATTTTTTGAAAAAGTCGATATGAGAATGTTAAAAAATAGATTTAATCATAGTAATCAAACTTGGAAACAATATTGAGAAAATACTAATATGAAAATCTATTCTATTGTGTATTATTAAATAATATTTTATATTAAATTCTGTTTTTGCATGAAGAACATATTTTTCACGTTGTTGTCGTCGTGACAAATTCAACAGATTAAACTTAAGAGGATCTTTTCCAAGTCATACCGTCAATAATTTTTTTCGCAATCTGTGACATTAGTATTCATTAATAGAAAAAGAAGAAGAAGAAGAAGAAACATGTATGAACTTATAGCTAACGTAAATAAATTTCTGATATATTTTAATAATGAATATCATTGAATTTCAGTTAGAACAAAAAAAAGGAATTAAAATATATTTCTATCATATTTGTGCTGCACTTCTGGAATTCGATGACTTGTTAGTCATGTCTTCATTATGTCTATTATTTGAAAATAGATTTCGAACTTGAATACGAAAGTTTGGCGTTGAAATATAAAAGACATAAAAACTAGTTACAGGATTTGTATAATATAAAATCGATGATATAACATGATAGAGAAAAAATTTTGATGAATATTCATAATTATTATCAGAAAATACAACTTCATGAATTTGTTCAATACAATGTGGAATCGATGATAATATAATAGCAATAGACATTAACAATAGCATGTGAGCTAACTGTCTATCACTATTCAAATGATTAGATGGATTATGTTTTGTGATTAATTTCAATTGTTTGAATGTTGATAATCCAAATATTGAAAGAAAAATAATTGGAATCAATCCATGTAAAGATATTTGAACAACATATAGATAATAGTAGGAATATTCAATTGGGAAAATTTCACATTGACCAGTATTTGAAACATCATAATAGATAATTAATGGAATACTATGTAATCCAACCAAAACAATAATAAATAGTATACTTAATTTCGTTCGCTGTCGTCTTGCACTCATTTGGCGTAGACGAACTTTTCTTGATGATAATAAATATCGATCAAATGTCGCCATACAGATACATGTTAATGATATTAAATCAAATGTATGTAAAGCATAATATCGAAATTTACATAAAATCAAAACATTAGTTCTTGTTACTCGATATTGATAACCATCAAGCAAAATACGAGTTAAAAGTGGATAACTAATTATTATTAAATTAGCAACAGATGATGCAAGTAAATACAAAGAACTGTTACTTGTTCGATGACTGCTACTATATCTATTGATTTTTTTTCGAGAACGAGACCATATGGCGAATACGCAAACATTTAAAATATTTCCAATTAAGCCAAATATACACATAATAATACCGAAAAAAATCATGAGTTTATGCGCAACCATATTAAATTGATCTGTTGCTTGTGCGTAATACATTTATAAAGAAATTATTTCTGAAAAAATCGACAAGGAAAAGAAGACTTATATTTAATATTTTATCTAGCAACTAAACGAAGGTTAATAACAAGACAGAACAATAGAAAAAAAATAAAGATTGATTCGGTATAGAAACGTCATGAATTCTCTTTAATAAATTTTAAGTAGCAGCATAACTCAGAATTTCAATAACAATTTTTTCTTGAGATCTCTATTTGTTCACGCATTTTAATCATTTTGTTGTAGTTCTACTTAAGAATATTATCTTTTTCAAAATCAGGAAAGTTCATACAAGCACAAATGTCTATCAAGTATCAAGGTTCGATAAGATTCATATTTGGAAAAAATGAGAAACGGTTTTTCAAAGTTTTTTTTTTATTCGTGAGAAAATCGACTTGTTCGATATAATTAGCATAACACTAATTAAAAACGAACTTTTATTCAATACTTCACACTATTAAAAAAATTTCTTTCTAAATGAAGCAAATGTCATACTCAGAATCAGTAAATCTAGGTAAAAATGTAGACAATACACATAAATTAGTTCTCGCCGAGTGTCAATCAATGAACTTGTTTGTTCTCTGTTAATTTCAAATTTTGTCATCTTCAGTTCTTCTCAAGTCGAATTTCGATAAAAACGAGTTTGAACTACTGAATAAACTACGTATTTTTCATATTGATTTTTTTGCTAACTCTTTATATAAAGATTGTATTATTCAGAATTGTGTTTCTGAAAGTCTACATTTCTGAATTCAACCTGTACTTATTGCATTTTGTTATCATATTGAAGGCATTAATGATGTTCTCAAGAAGGAAATTATCTTTTTGAACAGTTATAAATGAATTCTTTCTATCATGCGACAAAATAAAGCTTAAAAAAACATTACATAAATATTTAAATATCAAGACTTGATGTTATTGATGCATACTCACTCTAATAGATTTGACTGATGTTTCTAAACATAATTTTCCTAATTTTAGTTACAAAAGAAGCAATATGCAATTATCTCAACAATACGCCAGCTGTTTTATGTCTTCTTATTGTTTTCTCTAAAAGAAACATCAGAAAAATGCTGATTACAAATAACAACTAAATCCAGAACTGATCTGCATCTTCTTAGTGAAAATTAATTTTTTATATTGTTACAAGCTATATTCAATAAGAAAGAAAATGAATAGAATTGATAGAAGATAATGAAGGAAAAGAACTAAATCTTAATGTAAATTCAGTATTCTTTTGTAGTGCAACCGTAATATAAAACAAATTACATACCTATAGAAACACTTACTTCCGTTCAAGTGTACAATAAGCCACGTGAATTTCCCGTTCGTTTCCGAAATGAATGATATTTCTCCTGACTTTCTTTTTTTTATTTTGTTTCATTGAAAATATAACGACACATTAATATGGCAAGGTGAATGGCAATAGTCTTCAGTCAATTTTTTTACAAAACGACTATTTGTCATCATTAGATCTACTTGTCTGCGATTAGTAATGTGCTATGTTTATCATTCATATGCATTTATCTCACACTGAGAAAAATATAAAACAATGATAAAATCACTATCAACGTGATATTATATGAGAAAAACCATCGTCAGCTATCAAGAATTAACAAGAACACAGTATGCAAATATCTATGAAGTGTAGATCACTTATCTATTTTATTAGTCGTATGTATTTCTTTCACAGAATAACATCAATGAGAATATGTTGATGAAGGATATTTTAGAAATTCTACTAGACAACAATATAATGATATTTGAATGGTCTCAATAATGGATACTAAACAAATGTATATTGAAAAATATTTTCATTTCAAATATTTATCAAATTTAAATAAAAATTAGCTATTTTTTTATTGATTTCATTAAATATCTTCTCATCAACAATCTACCTGATTGAATAACGAAGAATTTCATTAAATCTTTTGTAACATTCAGAAAATTCGTATCACGATTCACGTACAAACTTGTTTTATTTGCTTCATGTAATTGTTTTCAACAATCATAGCGTTAGTATTGGTTAAGGAATATTTTCAATTATGAAATAAAATTTATAAATCCCCGACTTAATCAAAACAACTAAATGGAGACATTCAATAAAAAAATACAACTATATTATCCTTTGGCAACAAATCAAAACAATATTGACATGTATACTTTCACATAGCAAATATTGATAATAATGGATTTCAATTGACAAATCATAGGTAAATTTTTACCAAACAAACTCTGTTTAACATTCATTCACATATCTCTAAACAAACATTCAATTCTTTTATCTTTTTCCTATTCAGTTCCCATACTGTGAGGATTTTAACATTCTATCCTTCACGTCTACAATTTTTTGTCGTCTAACGATGTTTTTCATGTATTTGTAATGATGAAAAGACTTGAACACAGGGACATTCTTTTCAAGGTTCCAAGTGATCAAATATGACATAGAAACTTTTATGAATGACTAGATTCTTGACGTAGAATAAAAGAATCATTGGTTGAGAAATAAATCGCTCGTTATATCAATTTAATGGTGTAATCGTTGAAAAAAGCAAGCCTCATTACAAACAATTACAATGCCATAGAAAATGGAGAGAAGGATAAAAACTAGACCGAAACTATTTGAAAATACTTAGGGCATACCAAAAGTAGTGAGAGTGACACTTTTTTTAGCCTAAAATGGGCCTTAAGAAATTTTCTTTCTTTATCGTCTGATAGAGAAAAAGAAGCTCTATCTTCCTATGTTGTTTTAGCATACTTCAACTAATATAATATAATAATTTTTCGATCAGATCTGTTTCGTTTGCATACGTCGTTGTTATATCAATACTGATGAGTATTTTTTGAAGAACTCTTGATAGAAAGAAGATCGAGAACTTCGGTTTTCACCAATAGAAAGAACAGACGAGGACGCATCGAATCATATATTCGAATATTTTCTAATATGACTTCTCAAATTTGTTTTATTAGATTTTGTAACGGTCGGAAAAATAATTTTTTTACGATGAAACGAAAAGCACAGAATGGTGATTTTTTCACATATTTCGCTAGAAAATCGTAATAGAAGTTTGACTAAAACACATATTATTCATTTGAGCCATTGACGCTTTGTAAATCTTCAATTAGTGATCTGAATTTGTACTTGATAATTGAAAATTGAAAATTTACATTGCAAATAACTTACTAGATAGGTTGGTATAAAAAAAGGCCAATTGAAAACCTTGCGAAAACTATATTATAAAATTTTCTAATACATCATTGAATGCTTCTTCATCTCTTCTTTCCAATGGTGAAAACCGCAGTTCTCTATCTTCTTTCTATCAAGAGTTCTTCAAAAAATACTCCCTAGTACAACTAGTACATAACCAGCCGATACAGGCTTTATAGATAATTTAATATTATGATATTAGTTGAAGTATGATCAAATAGCATAGAAAGATAGAGCTTCTTTTTCTCTATCAGACGATATAGAAAGAAAATTTCTTGAGGCCCATTTTAGGCTAAAAAAAGTGTCACTCTCACTACTTATGGTATGCCTTAAGTATACATCATTCTTTTGATTAAATACATACGTACCAAAGCAACTGATAATATTAATTGTATCTTCCTTTCGATGATAATGATTGCTTGGGATTTTACTTTTAAAATAAACAAATTATAACTGTGTTGAGTATCTTCATTTTATTTCTTAGTAGTTCTTTTAATACAATCGTATTTTTCTAAGTAATGATGAACTTTTAGTTTATTTCCTATTGTTCTTCTATTCTATTATGCAATCATAGTATTTTTCACTAGTAAAGCTTTACAAAAAAACTTCGAAGATAGAATTATTCTCGAGCAGAATCTATTTGAGATACGAAGACTAAATGAATTTTAAATGAATTATTTTACATTGATTTACGATAATTCTAGTCTTGTTTTTGTATATTTTCATTGTCAAAGGTAACTATATCCAACCGATTAAAATAAATATTTTTTGAATAATCCCTTGTTGTTCTTACTAATTTCGAGCTAACAAGAAACTAATGACAGGCTAGAGAAAATTCCTTTATCTTAAGTCCAATATGATAATGTAATTATCATAATTTCTATCAGACTATAAACTTACTTGTTTGAATTTTTTATGAAAATAAATTTGATTGTTTGTAATTGAAACTTTGTTAGATAAATAGATACCATCTATTCATTTTTATATTTCGATGATTTTCATGCATCTTATCAACTGTTCTTTTTTGCTACAGTAAACATCTGACCGTTGATATGTGTAATATGCAGTGATATACCGATGGATTATATGCGTGTTATTCTAATGAGAACTATTTCAGCGGTGCTCTTCTATCCTTATTCAAATTAGCGTTAGCATAGAAAAATATAAATTTTAACCGAACTATTGATATTTGCCATTGTTTACAATATCAATATCCTATAAATTAACATTGTAAAAAGCTTTCATCAAGGATACATTTTTTTCTTGTTTCATTCTTATGCTTCAGCTTCTCTTCCTTTTTAGTTCGTGACAATTAAAATATATGTTCTCATGTTTGTAAGGAATATATTCGTCAATTCTATTTTTGAATATATATTTCTTTAGGAAAAACAACAAACAAATCTCTCTCATTTAATCTTTTCTATAAATAATTAGCTAATTTTATATCCAAAAATCATTATCAGTTGAAATCTAATCTAATTTAATTTTTATTATATTCATTTTACTATGAACTGAATGATCCATATAATTAAATATATCCGTATGAATACAAACCTTGATGCTACAATCTTATCAAATATAAATTTAATTATATTCACTTGCTTAACTAACATGAGCATCAGTGCGTTTGTGATGCATTTTTCAATGGTTATTAAGAAGAAGTTCAATTCAATATATGACTTCAATATAATGTGTTTTGCATCATGATAAACTTGAACTTTTATACAAATATTTTAGTTCGAAGAAAAAACTGAAATCAGTTAAATATAAATATTTTAATTTTATACGATAA